GAAAGGAGAGAAAAAGGAAAGGAAGAAGGGAAGGGAAAGGAATAAATGGATGAAGAAGAAGGGAAAGGAAAGGAAGGGGAAGAGAAGGAAAGGAAAAGAAAGGAAGGGGAAGGAAGGGAAAGGAAAAAAAAATAATCCCCTTCCAACTCTTGAGATTCTAAAATCTGAATGCATTCAGCCTGGAGAAAAGATATGGGGGAGACCTTATGTTAGATAGTCTACTATCTCAAGGCTCCTTCCCCTGAGAAGCTGAGGGAGAAGTCCCAACCTCTAGAAAGAACGATGCCATCTGGGCTTGGGGCCAAGACTGTTCCCTAAGGCAGATGCCATGACATTTTCCAGGATCCACCAGGCCAGGGGTCTCTCAACCTTGGCCACTTTTAAGACTTGCGGACTTCAACTGGCCGAGGAACTCTGGGAGTTGGTCCACAAGTCTAAAGTGGCCAAGGTTGGAGACCCCTGCCCCAGGCAACCCATCTAGGGCACCAGACCGGGTCCAGTTTCCCTCCTGGGAGTCACTGTAGCTCATAGAGTGGGGATGTCACATGGGGGGGTCAAAGGAAATGTCTAATCCTCCTCGTGATCGCCGCAAGACTGGGGGTTTTCTTCCTTCCTTTTAGGAACCCGCATACCTTGGTGGAGGTGACGTCGTTCGCAGCCCTCAACAAATTCCAGCCTTTTAACGTGGCCATCTCGAGCAATGTTCTCCTGCTCGTGGTAGGTACCCCTCCTCCAAGTGCCAGTCCGGGGCTGGCTGGGGAATTCTGCGATTTCCGGATTCAGCGTGTTCCGAGGGGCACCCGGTTGCAGGAAGGCCGACTCGCTGAACACTTGTGTTGTGTTCGATGGATTGCAAGTGTTTTGCACAATGCCTGGTGGCTGGCGAAGAATTCCGTCGATGGGAAAGGACATCAAAGCACATGAATCCGCCCAAGGCAAATGCAAATATTAATTATCTAGCTCGTATGCTTTAAGATGGGTGTACTTCAACTCCCTGAATTCCCCAGCCAGCATCCTTTAAAGTGGGTGGACTTCAGTTCCCAGAATTCCCCAGCTAACATGCTTTAAGGTGGGTAAGTATCAGCCAGCAAGGACCCCACAGTCCTCCTCCTCTTCCTCCTCCTCCTCTCCATAAACCTCGCTCCCTTCTAACACTGATGATGTTACCTAGCTGGGTCATGAAATGTCTTCAAGAAAACCCAACAAGCTCAGAGACCACCAAGGACCCCACAGTTCAACCCTGAGCTACAAATATTCTCCTCTGTTGATTGTCACGCTCCCCTGTCTCCTTTGTCCGCTTCTCTTTAGGATTTCCACAGTCATTTAACAAAAAGCGAAGTGGTGGGATACTTAGCAGGCCAATGGAACATCAACAGCCAATGTAAGTCCCGTTGGGTTACCCTGAGGTGAGCTAAAAGGGTTGGATGTTTGGGAACTGGATGGGATCATTTTTCTCTTCCTTCACCATTCCCGTATCTGCTTCGGAGCAAAAGAAAGAACGTTTTTCTCTCAGTTTCTTTCACCCAAATCTTGGGAAGCCAAACGTAACCCTGGAGATCTTCAAACAGAGGCTGACCCATTCATCACTGAATCTTGTACAGGTAGTCTTGTGGACTTAACAACCGTTCATTTAGCAACCGTCCAAAGTTAGAACAGCACTGGAAAAAGTGCATTACGACCAGTTCTTTCTATATACCGTTTCCCTGAAAATATGACCTACCCTGAAAGTAAGTCCTAGCTTGATTTTTACACGTGTGCGTGAATGCTACGGACTTTGAAAACAGCTGGGGGCTAGAGTTAGGGTTAGGCCATGGATTGACCTCCTGTGGACTACCTTGGTTCCCCGAAAATACGACCTACCCTACCTGAAAGTAAGTCCTAGCCTGATTTTTTTACACATGCACCCAATATAAGCCCCACCCCCCAGAATAAGCCCTAATTGAGATCCCACCCACTCCAGAGTAGACGGGTAAAAATTAAGCTAGGGTGGGGATAGGGCTGTGTGGACCTGCCCTGCTACTTACCTTTGGACAGTTGTAGCCAGGCCTGACGCACTCCGACACCTGCCTTGCCGGCCCATTTCCCCTTTTGTGACCTTCTGACTTAGCAACCACAGTGATTCACTTAACAACCATGGCAGGAAAGTTCATAAAAATGGAGCAAAACTCGCTGAACCCACTTGACCCGCTTAGCAACAGAAAGTTTGGGTTCAGTTGTGGTCGTAAGGTTGAGGACTAGCTGTATTTCACACTGGAGGAACCAGCAAAATGCAATTTTTTTATATTCTGAACATTGCTTAACCTCCCAATTTAATGATACATAAACATTACGAAAGGAGGGCAAGGAAACTCGACAAAAGCATAATTTGTGTGATTATGAGCATTTCCTGCACACAGCATGAATGTGGAGTGGAAAAACCTTTGAGATGTTTCCAACTCTTTGATTTTATTTGGCACAGAGATCATCCAGATTTAATTTTTGGCCTCGATAAAGAAAGGCTGGACTTTTCCGGCAGCCACAAAATACAACTTTATTTGTAGTTGAAAGACATTTCTTGAAAGAAGGAATGAATGAATTTCTTTTTAATGATTTTTGGCCAATCAATGAATACATTAAATCCCACAACCAAACTATTGTCCCCAGAATAAATATAATAGCTTAACACAGTCAGTACAGTTTCAATTTTTCATATTTATAAGAAAAGGCTGGAATATTCTGCCAGCCACAACATGCAACTGCACTTGTGGCTTAAAGAAAAGAATGAATGAATGAGTTTTTATTATGGCTTTTGGCTGATTGGTAAATAAAATAAACCCCACAATTGGTCCATTGTCCTTGGAATAAATGAAATTACTGTATGGTATGGCACAATCAGTGCAGTTATATCAGCAGTGACTGATGTTTTGTTTTAACAGCAATATAAAAAGCCATTTTATTTATATTTGGGCTGATATCTGAAAGGCGGTGAATTCCTTAAATCATTTCTAAATCATATAAAAAGTCATGAAGTAGTAATTTCCTTCTGGGTATCCCAACACAGAATATCATATGGTAGAGAACATGAGAACATACAATGATAAGTTATATAGTGTTTCTCAGTCTTGACCACTTTTAAGATAGGTGGACTTCAACTCCCAGAATACCCGGTCAGAATGCTTCAAGATGGATAGACTACAACTCCCAGAATTCCCCAGCCAGAATGCTTCAAGAGAGTTGGATTTCAACTCCCAGAATGCCAAGTTAGAATGCTTTAAGATGGGTGGATTTCAACTCCCAGAATTCCCCAGCTGATATACTTTAAGATGGGTGGATTTCCAGAATTCCCCAGCCAGAATGCTTCAAGATGGTTGGACTTCAACTCCCAGAATACCCAGTCAGAATCCTTTAAGATGGCTGGATTTCAGTTCCCAGAATTCCCCAGCTGACATAATTTAAGATGGCTGGACTTCAACTCCCAGAATTCCCTTGCGGACTTCAACTCCCAGAATTCCCTTGTGGACTTCAACTCCCAGAATTCTGGGAGTTGAAGTCCACAGGTCTTAAAGTTGCCGAATTTCGAAACCCCTGCTCTAAACATATCCTAATTTTGACCCTGATTGATGTATAGGGTTGCAAAATGTGCGTGTGTGTGTGTGTGAGAGAGAGAGAGAGAGAAAATCCTTCTTTAACCATAACCTCGTTGTGTTACGCTGTGTTGTGTTCCAGTGCTGACGGTACTGAGGGCATTCCCTTGCCGGTCACGACTTGGAGACAATGAATTGGCAGCCATCATGGAAGAAGAGGTGAGGCGATGGATGGAAAGGAGAAGGGATCTCCTTGGATCTTCAAAAAGATCGCCCCGAAAGATCACTTCCAGTTTGGAAGCACTGCTCAAGCAGTTTCCATTTATCCTTATCGTAAAGTGTAATTCGAAACAGCGTACAGGTAGCCCTCGACTTAACGACCGCAATGGGGGACCTGAAAATTTGCCGTTAAAGCGATGCGGTTCAGTGAGGCACCGTGAGGTCACAATAGACGGTCTTCCCACTTGTCGGAAGATGGCTGGCCAAATCACAGAGCTCACATAATGTCAGGATTCTGCAAGTCGTAAAGAATTCTATTCTATTCGAAATGTGAGCTAAGCACCCAGATGGCAGTCACGCAAGGATGGAAACGCCGCAGCAGTCGTCAGTACGAGGAACGGTCGTAAGGGTTGTGGGCCCAACAGGGACCAGTGGAACTGGCCACAGACTCAGATAGTGAGGAGGTTGGGGGAGGAACGTGGGCCATTCCTGGGATCTGGGGAAGGCTCTGACAAGGACACTGCGTTGGAGGCAGAGATGGGGCCAGGCAGCTATAGTTTAGCTTAATTGAAATGGATAATGCCAGACAGATGAAATAGACAGCTGGGTGATGCTTTGGAGGAAGAAAGGAAGGGTAAAGGGGCATTTTAGGTCTGGGGTGGGTGTTATAAAGCAAAGTCAAGTTACAAACTAAAGCAGATCCTGTATTATCTGTTCCCCCTTAAGCAGAAGCTAATTTAAATTTATTGTTATTTTAAATCATCGTATGATTTAAAATATTTTTTAAAAATAATTTATTATTAAAAAACAACAACTCAAGGTGGTGAACATATCTAATACGTTTCCCTCTTCCAATTTTCCCCACTACAACAATCCTGTGAGGTGGGTTGGGCTGAGACGGGGGGATTGGCCCAAAGTCATCCAGCTGGCTTCCATAATTAAGGCAGGACTAGAACTCACCACCTCCTAGTGCCGTGATGGCAAACCTATGGCACATGTGCCACAAGTGGCACGCAGAGCCATTTGTGCTGGCATGTGAGCTACGGGCTCACTGTGCATGTGCACGCCTCACAGCTGATTTTTTTTTTTTCGGTTGGTTTGAGGCCTTTCTCGGCCTTCCAGAGGCTTGGAAAAAGCCTCTGCGAGGCTTTTCAGGATGAATTATAGGCCTGTTTTTGTCACTTCCTGTAATACCAGAAGTGATGAAACGGGCCTATAATTCATCCTGAAAAGCCTTGCGGAGGCTTTTTCCAAGCCTCTGGAAGGCCGAAAAAGGCCTCAAACCAGCCAAAAAAATCAGCTATGAGGGTCAGTGCAGGTAAGGTGGTGGGGTGGGGATTGTGTGCGCATGCGCAGGAGGCGTGGGAAGGGGGGACGTGCATTGCATTCTGAGTGCTGACACCCAAGTGCGTGCGCGCTAGTGTGCGCACACAATTTTTGGCACAGGAGCCCAAAAAGGTTAGCTACCACTGTCCTAGGGATTGGCCCAAAGTCACCCAGGCCATCTTTCATGCCTAAAATGGGACTAGAACTCCCAATCTCCTGGTGATTGGCCCAAAGTCACCCAGCCAGCTTTCATGCCTAAGGTGGGACTAGAACTCCCAATCTCTTGGTGATTGGCTCAAAGTCACCCAGCCAACTTTCATAGCTAAGGTGGGACTAGAACTCACATCTCCTGGTGATTGGCCCAAAGTCACCCAGCCAACTTTCATAGCTAA